TTTTTTGTTTCACATGTAATTTTAAAATACTTTAAAGTTTGTAAAGAAAAAATTTGATAATAAAAATAGTTTGGAACTTGAATTTGATCAACAAGGAAATTGTCATACAGGATATTTTTATTCAACAAATTCATATAAGTATGTATATTAGATTTTAAGATAATTCGAAATTATTTATCATCATTTAGGAAAAAAGATTATACATTATATTATGGAATAGATGAAAATAATTGTCAATTTTATCAACAAATAAATTGCGATAAAATAAAACATGTTCGTATATGTGGTACACAATCTAAAAATAGTATTATAAATTATTTTCCAAATGCTATTGAACTTACTTTTGATCTATCTAATGATTCAATTACAATCGATCTTAATCGTATTTTGCCTTTATCAAAACTTAGAAAATTAGTTATTGAATGTTATCAATTTTCTTTTAAACGATTAATCAAGTTATTATATTCTACAGTTAATTTAAATTCATTAAAAATTCGTAGAACATTAATTAACGATAGTGAATATGAATTAATTCAACAAAGTGAATTTTTTCAAATGATATCAAATAAGAATATGATTAAAAATTTGGTTATTGATGAATGTTGTACATTAACAAAGATTCAATTATTTGTTGGTTTATGTCCTCGATTGCAACAACTTACAAGTGGTATGAATCGAAAAGAATTTTTATCAATTGTACGATTCTTAGTATCAAAAAATGAAAAAAATATTAAAAATTTATCCTTTCTATGTGTTTTACATGCACCTAAAGTATCATTAAAAGAATTGAAGAAATTTATTAAATTAGAAAAAATACTTGACGATCATGCAATAAATCATGTTGATCGTAAATTATATTTGTGGTGGTAAAATTTAGTTATATTTAGAAAAAATATTTTATCTTTGTATATAATTGTTTTCAAATAAATAGAAAGATTGATTATTGAAATAGGAAATTTCTTGTTACTATTAACAGAAAAGATAATCACAGTGAGACAAACGTCTTGATATTATTCCTCACAACAGTTTTTATTTTTCTTCCATATAGCCAAATCGTATGATAGAGAAGACTTTTTCTTCAGACCACAAAAATGAAGAATAATGAGGAGCATCATGATAAATGGAAAAGACAATGTTAGAAAGAAGAATTGTAAAGTATTGAATTTATTGTCAACATTGTTTTTCGTACATATTTCTCCTGAATAACAACTTCAGCAGTTCTTTGGCCTGAGGAAAAAAATGATCTCTGTCCTACGAGCTCATATATCTATCTTATATAGCTAAGGGTAGAAATATCAAAATTTAGGATAATAGAGTGTGGGTGGGTGTAAGTGTCTGAGTCTACTATTTCTCTTTGGCCACACCCACAAACTGAGCAATTCGTCCATTGCTTGTCAGTCTCATTTTGCGAAAATGAAAACAAATATTCAAATATATCTTGTGCATATACAATGTCTTTTCCGCGAAAAGAAACTTAAAGAAAGTATACACAGCAAGCAACGTTTGCGTGGTGTGTTTGAATAATTTATGTGATGTAAAAAAGTGCCTCACGTTAGTCAAAACATACACAGCGAAATTATCGTGTTCATTTCAATCTACGTTGAATGAGAAATTTTAAAAAAGTGAGTGTATGCGTATGAAAATAGAAATTAAAACAGCCAAATAGTGCTCAGTACTTATTTGAGATATACTCAATTTGATTGGTTCGAATGTTTTTTCTGCCCAACAGCAGTTGAGTTTTCATTTTTACAGCTCTGTATCAATTCATTTTCGAAATTCATTGAAATGAAATGATTATTTTCTGGAATAAGCGCTGTTCAGTAAAATGAACTTGCTGAAAGAATCACATTGATTCGTGTATGACTAACTCTTTTGGCTATACAAAGTGAAAATGTGGATTTATTTTCGATTCTGTTTTTCGAGTCAGGATTTATCGAATGCCTATCTGAATACCAATGAATGGTGAACAAGACAATGATGTCCAAAATTTTGATTTTCGTTTACTGCACCACTGAATCAACTCTGGATAAATATGAACGGCAAACCATCAAATTATTATTATTTTCATATCTGTAAAATGTTATCCTTTCTTGATGTTCAATAACATTCAGTCTTCTTTTATGTTCTCTTTAATTTACAACTGTTCCGGATACGAACCGTATGGATCTATCGAATCTTTTCGGCAACGAGAATGGACAACGTGACTTTGTGGATTCTTTGCCATTTCCACTGTCGC